GGTAATTGTAGATGCAGGATTAGAAACGCCTGCTTTTGTTGGATATGATGGCATAGTCGTTACGGAAGCTTTGCATCCAGGCCGAACCTATGCCATACGAGGTTCGACCCCTTGTGAGTTCGCACTACCCAACCTCATGTCTTGGCGAGCGGATGCTAATTTATCACTTAATTTGGGGAATATTATATGCAAAGCACCTTAAATAATTGGCTTTTAAGGCTTAGGCAGAGGCTTATCCTATTGCCATTGTATTTTGCTTTATGGTTGTGCAGTTTTTCTACGCAAGCTGCTAGTTGTCAGCTTGAAGTAACCAATCTCAACTTTAGCACCTATGTTTTTACCGATAGCGATGGCATGAGTACCAATGGTGAAGTTCGAGTCAATTGCGATGCCACCACCAACTTCCAAATACGTTTTGGCACTGGAAGTAGTCAAAATTATTTGGCACGCACATTGGTCAGAAACTCTTCCACCTTGCAATATAACATCTTCGGCAACCCAACTTTCAATCAAATTTTGGGAGATGGTTCAAATGGCACCCATATCCTTAATAGCTCAAGCACAGCTGGGCAACCTACCATCTTGCCTTTTTATGGCTACATTCCCCCAGACCAAAATATTCCAGTTGGGGCATACCAAGATAATATCGTCGTCACGATCATCTACTAAAAGTTCAAACGAACATGAATAAGTTACGTACGTGCCTAAATCATAGATTAGAAAACACAGATTAACCCGTGTTTCTATTACTTCAAAAACTCTCTCGCATTATTAAACATCTTTTGCCAAGGACTGAAGGTCCCCCAAAATTGATCAGCTCCTAGAGGACGCCAGCTCCACTGCTTGCTTAAAAAACCGCGCTCTGGATGGGGCATCATAATCGTGACTCGACCATCACGGGTCGTCATACCAGCTATAGCATCAGGTGAACCATTGGGATTTTCCGGATAAGATTGCGTTGGTTTTCCTTGAGAATCAACATATTGAAGCGTAATAGGCAAGGATTTTGGGTCGATGTACTCAGCAAACTGAGCACGCCCTTCTCCATGAGAGACGACGATGGGGAGTACGCTTCCTGCCATGTCTTTCAACAAAATTGACGGTGAATCTATCACTTTGCTTAAGACCAAACGAGCCTCATATTGCTCGGAGGTGTTGCGCATAAAACGCGGCCAATCTTGGGAACCTGGAATTATCGGGGCTAACTGCGCCAACATTTGGCACCCGTTACAGACACCCAATGTAAATGTTTGATCACGCAAGAAAAAACTTGCAAGGGCATCCGTTAACTCGAGATGATTCAAAACCGTTTGCGCCCAGCCACGTCCCGCGCCTAAGACATCACCATACGAAAAGCCCCCACAGGCAACTAAACCTTGGTATTGATTTAACAATTTTGGATTTTCGAGCAAATCACTCATGTGGATATCAAAACAATCAAACCCTGCAGCATGAAATGCATAAGCCATTTCTGATTGCGAATTCACACCTTGCTCACGCCAGATGGCCATTTTAGGTTTTACGCCACCGATCACAGGCATGCTCAGAGGCATGGTAAAAGAGAGTTGAGCCACTAGGCCTTCTTTGGTACTCATCTTGGCATACTCGGCGTCAACACATTCTGGATTGTCGCGCATTTTAGCGATGTGATAGCTCACTTTTTGCCATTCGTCTTGTAAAGCAACTCGACTTTCGCGATAGAATACTTTACCATCCACGTAAATTTCTATGGTATCCTCTTGATTAGGAGTCGCAATTTGCTGAGTCAAGGGTGATAGACCATGCTCACGAAGAATATCAACGACACGAGAACGATTCGCACGCAACACTTGGATACACATCCCTAATTCCTCATTGAACAGCGCACGCATGATTCTTTCTGGACGAGTGCCCGACACTTGCTCCGTCCAGTTTTTGGCATCATCAATGCCCATTTGATCAACAGAATCAATCAACAAATTGTCGACTTGCAGTGAAATTCCTGTATGGCTGGCAAAACTCATCTCACATAAGGTTGCCCACAATCCACCATCGGATTTATCGTGATAAGCTAAGACCAATTGTTCATCTTTGAGCTGGCGCAAGGCAGCAAATGCATTTTTGAGCAACACTGGATCTTCAACATCTGGAACCTGATCACCGTATTGATTAACAACTTGCGCTGCAATACTGCCACCTAAACGTTTTTTGCCTTTAGCTAAGTCAATGAACAAAACAACCGTTTCCTGATCAAGAGCTTTAAGTTCTGGCGTCACAGTTTGGCGAACATCTTCAACAGGAGCAAATGCAGTAACAATCAGGGAAACAGGTGAAACAACACTTTTTTCTTCTGACTGCTCTTGCCACGTTGTTTTCATAGAAAGTGAGTCTTTACCAACTGGAATACTCACTCCTAAAGCTGGGCATAATTCTAAACCGACACTTTGCACAGCATCATACAACGCAGCATCTTGTCCTGCCACCCCACAAGCAGCCATCCAATTTGCAGAAAGCTTAATTTTATCAATACCATTGACGTCAGCCCCTGCAATATTGGTGATACTTTCAGCCACCGCCATGCGACTGGCAGCTTTAGCATTGATCACAGCCAAAGGTGTGCGTTCCCCCATGGCCATAGCTTCTCCTGCAACACCAGCATAATCACGGCTAGTCACAGCACAATCAGAAACTGGCACCTGATACGGTCCGACCATTTGATCGCGTGCCACGAGGCCTGTTACACTACGATCACCAATCGTAATCAGGAACTGTTTATTAGCAACCGTTGGGTGTCTTAACACCGCTTTGGCCATTTCATCCCAAGACTGATCCAACAAGCGAACGGGCGGCAGATCGATCTTTACCCGTTGATCTCGACGAGGTTGGATCGGTGGTTTGCCAAGCAAAATATCTAACGGCAAATCGACAACTTGATG